CACTATGATGATCATAGCTCCACTAGACCCCAGGGACAGATCCATGCCAGCTCTCCAGGTAGGGTGGCTGGGTGGAACATTTTACTTTATAATAATTGTAATATTTTGTGAGTGTATGTGTGTCTTTGAGTGTATGTGTGTGTATGATTGTGTATGTGTGTGTATGAGTTTATGTGTGTGTATGTTTGTCAAATCAGTGAGAGTCTGTTTGTCATTGAGTGTGTGTGTGTGTGTGTGTGTGTGTGTGAGAGACTATCAGTGTGTCTGTCAATGAGTGTCTGTCAGTGTGTTTTTGTGTGTGTGTGTCTGTTAATGAGTAAATGTGTGTCAGTGAATGTGTGTGTGTCAAATCAGTGAGTTTATTTCTGTCAGTGATGTCTGTGTGTGTGACTGTCAGTGTGTATCTGCCAGTGGGTGTCAGTCAGTGAATGTGTGTGTCAAATCAGTGAGTCTGTGTCTGTCAGTGACGTCTGTGTGTTTGTCATTGAGTGTGTGAGTGACTGTCAGTGTGTATCAACCAGTGTGTGTCTGTCAGTGAATGTGTGTGTGTCTGTCAGAGTGTTTGCTTAAAGGAATACTATAGCAACCTAGACCACTTCAGAGGGACTTCCGGGTGGTTAGGTTACCAAAAGTCGCCTAACTGATGATGGACGTCCTCACGCTGTGTACCTCAGGGATCTGTACTTGGACCCATTCTCTTTAATATTTTTATTAGTGATATTGCAGAAGGTCTTGATGGTAAGGTATGTCTGTTTGCTGATGATACTAAGATATGTAACAGGGTTGATGTTCCAGGAGGGATAAGCCAAATGGCAAATGATTTAGGTAAACTAGAAAAATGGTCAGAATTGTGGCAACTGACATTTAATGTGGATAAGTGCAAGATAATGCATCTTGGACGTAAAAACCCAAGGGCAGAGTAAAGAATATTTGATAGAGTCCTAACCTCAACATATGAGGAAAGGGATTTAGGGGTGATTATTTCTGATGACTTAAAGGTAGGCAGACAATGTAATAGAGCAGCAGGAAAGGCTAGCAGAATGCTTGGTTGTATAGGGAGAGGTATTAGCAGTAGAAAGAGGGAAGTGCTCATGCCATTGTACAGAACACTGGTGAGACCTCACTTGGAGTATTGTACACAGTACTGGAGACCGTATCTTCAGAAGGATATTGATACCTTAGAGAGGGTTCAGAGAAGGGCTACTAAAATGGTTCACGGATTGCGGGATAAAACTTACCAGCAAAGGTTAAAGGATCTTAACATGTATAGCTTGGAGGAAAGACGAAACAGGGGGGATATGATAGAAACATTTAAATATATAAAGGGAATCAACACAGTAAAGGAGGAGACTATATTTAAAAGAAGAAAAACTACCACAACAAGAGGACATAGTCTTAAATTAGAGGGACAAAGGTTTAAAAATAATATCAGGAAATATTACTTTACTGAGAGGGTAGTGGATGCATGGAATAGCCTTCCAGCTGAAGTGGTAGAGGTTAACACAGTAAAGGAGTTTAAGCATGCGTGGGATAGGCATAAGGCTATCCTAACTATAAGATAAGACTAGGGACTAATGAAAGTATTTAGAAAATTGGGCAGACTAGATGGGCCGAATGGTTCTTATCTGACGTCACATTCTATGTTTCTATGTTTCTATGCGTGGGTTGTTGAGAGGCACAAGGGAGGGGGGCACTACAGCATCCCTTTAAAAGGAGTAGGAAAAGGTGGAGTCTAAAGTGGAAGGTGGGGTTCTTAATCAGGAAGAGGTGTGGCCTTGACAGGAATGGGTGAGGCAAATTTAGATTAGGGGGGTGCCCAGGTTTAGTCATTCCTATGGCAGCACAAAACCAAAAAACACCACTGCTGACACCCCATAAAGGCTGGGGCCGGCGCTCTTGCTGGCCCCCAGTCTTCTGGGCAATTAGTAGTGCTTCAGTAGCACTCCCTGCATGGATCTAATGTCTGCTGAATAGCTCAAGCGCATCTAATGGTGTGCTTGCGCTGTGCTGCCTTGGGACAGTTCCCTGGTATCCCCAGATGTGGTACACCAGGGAGCTGAAGCATGATGGCATGACAGGAGCCCAAAATTGGAACTGTTTCAACAAAATTGTGACTGTTGGGAGGCCTGTCAACATATTAAACAATTCCTTCCTCTCATTTTCCTTGCAGTAGTCTCTTTTGAGTATGAATGCTTCTAAAAATAGTGAAAATCTAACATGCAGTCTCATCCAGCTCTGTGTTGTAGGAAAAGTTGAGGATCATTTGCCCAATCTTATATCACTGTGCCACATCTTACAATTCATAACAACATATCCACTCTCATTGTCTTAACCATGCAGCCTTGTTCTTATACTATTGCTTTGTATATAGAAATGAAATCACGACAATCCACAAGTGTTAGGAACCATGCTGGTAACTGAGAATGACATCCAAGTAAACAGGAAATAGGAAGTCCAAGGCTGTATAGCATAACACTGAAGGAAGTGATAACACATTGCATAGTGACTCCGCATTATAGCAAGGTGTTCATTCTCACTATCCTATACTTCGCAGTCTTGTTCCAATACCATTTTATCAGGTGCCATAGCAACATGTTCATTCTCAGTGACGTACACCGCGCAACCTTGTTCTGATATCGTTGTGTACAGTGCCATAGTACAAAGGCGATCCTGGGTGGGTGCAGGCCACCTAGGAATTCTGTAAATAGACGGAGTGTGTAGTACTTTTTATAGCCATATTGTTTTTTATACATTGTCATTAAATAGTATTTTAAAGCTATATACACCATTTACTTTGAATTTATTATTTTACTTCCTGGTCATCATATCCTTTAGTGGGGATTATACCACTTAAGCCAAATATACTAGAGCAAGTTTCTGCTCTAGTAAATGTGAGTACCACACTCTTTATTATTTTTCTCTTAATTTTTACTATAACATACTGCACTATTGGAGTTTCTTTTTATGTCTTTTACATTGCCGTATCACTGGAATATTGGAGATATCTGCTTCCACATGGATCCTTAGACGGGGATTGTTCCGTCCATGCGAATTACGGTAGAGCTCCTGGTTAGCTCTACCAAATGTGAGTGCAAATTATACTAATTTACTCAAATACCTCTCTCAGTTTTTTAACTATACTGCACCATTGTGTTTCCTCTCTGTTTTTATTTTTGAGGGTATATGAGAATTGTTCAAAGAAAAATATTCTGAATGTACGTATATTTTATTTAGGGCGCGGTTCCTCTCTCTCTCTCTCTCTCTCTCTCTCTCTCTCTCTCTCTCTGGTTGAATGTGTTCATTCTCACTGTCCTATACTTCGCAGTCTTGTTCCAATACCATTTTATCAGGTGCCATAGCAACATGTTCATTCTCAGTGACGTACACCGTGCAACCTTGTTCTGATATCGTTGTGTACAGTGCCATAGTACAGAGGCGATCCTGGGTGGGTGCAGGCCACCCAGGAATTCTGTAAATAGACGGAGTGTGTAGCAATAGGCACCACCCTGCCATGATCACATGGCACAGGAGGGACGGATCAGGCAGTGGGGGCCTGCCTGAACTCACAGGCAGACCCCAGGATCAAGATCGCCAGCAGGGAATCTCCAGCGATCAGGTAAGTGGCGATTTACCAGGTACGTCCGAGGTCGTTAACGAACATTTTTTGTCAGACGTACCTGGTACGTACGAGGTCAGTAAGGAATTAATTTAGAATTCTTAACTCCTGCTCTGTTAATGGCCTTCTAGACCCTACAGGAACCCTGTGTGTTTGATTACAGTTCATTTTACAGAGCAAGAGATAAAAACTACTGAAATGCATAAGATCTGAAACCATTATTTTCATGCAGGCTAAGGGGGACCCAGCCAAGGGAGGTGTGGCTAGGGCTGCATAAACAGAAACAAAAGTGATTTAACTCCTAAATGGCAGAAAATTAAGCAGTGACACTGCAGGGGCATGATCTATACACCAAAACTACCGTTGTTTTGATGTCTTTAGTATCCCTTTACTATAGGAACACACAAAAAAGTAAAATTAGTCATAATCATTTAAAAATTGATAGAGTAAAGCTAAACTATAAATACAGTTTCTCAGGTATCCTGCTTCGAGTATTTTTTTTTTATTATTATTTTTTTTTTTTTTTTTTATAATTCTTTATTTTTGTAGTGCAGTTATTAGGTACAAACAGGCTTGAGGTACCCCAACGGCATTCCTCGAGCTTTGTGACATATTTCACAAGTGGGGTTAAAGTAGACAATGCACATTTTTTATATAACAGGTACATGCGAAAACATTAAGCTTTTGTTAGTGTATGTTGCATTGAGATGACAGTAGTTGCTATGTCTAATATGCTTTCCCAACCCTGTGCCGTAGAAAGCGGAGTGGTGGAGGTGGTACAAGTGGGCCCATGGTGTGGTGTGTCAGCGTATGAAATGCCTGAGTGCGTGCTGAAGGTGTAGTACCTGTACTCGTGTTTTGGAGGATTAACATAGAGATCCCAACTGTTGTTTAGTGTCTGTGATGAGGGGTGACGTATGGTTTACACGTTTTAAACAGGCTTATGTGAGTTCTAGTCTATTTTTCTCTGACAGGCTAGGCAGTCTGACCAAGCTAGGTGCATATGTATATTGGGTTACTCCAGCATGTTAGGCAAACATATTATGTTGAGAGCGATTATAAATTAGGCTACTCTGGCCGGCCAGGGAGACAGATCAAGCCAAAATATAAAAAAAATAAAAATAAAAAATTTATATCTTAGGCCATTCTGGCGGGCTAAGCAAACGCTTATGTTGCATAAGTAAAAGCAAAACATTTATGCCTTAGGCCACTATGACAGGCCAGGGCAACTTCTAGCTAAAACCAACTGTATATGCATTTATTCTGGTGAGTCAGGAATCGGCAGTGTCCAAGTCCTGGTGGTTGTCTCCATTATTTTATCAGGGCAGGCAGGGTTTTGGTGGTAGCCTGTGGCATCCCGCCTCTGCGCGTTCTGTGCCGGCTGTCAGCCCACTCCAGTTCGAGGCTGGGTTGTAGAGTCCTTCGCTGCAGGGGAGACAACCAGAAATGAGGCGGCAAAGTAGTGGTGTCGGGTGGGCTCGCGCTTCTCTGATGCGCTGGAGCGGTTTGTGGGCTGAGAGGTGCTCCGTCGCTGATCTGATGTCCGCATGTAGTGCGGCGTCTTCATTGCTGGTCGTGGCGCGGTGTGTCGCCATCTTGGTGCAAGGTGCAGCATTAGGTATGTGAGACCGGTTCCCTGACGTGTCAGAGGTTCCCGCTTCTCTGCCTTGTTTTGCAGTGGGTTCTTCCGTGGTGCAGGAGTTGGCTTATTGCCACCTTGAGGTGAGCGTTGTGCTGGGATGATTTGACGGGTGTTTACCGGTGATCGTTGTGGCGTGTTGGTTTGCATGCGCCCGTTTGCTTTGCCGTGTGTTGTAAGCGTCTGTGGACCGCATTTTCTCTTACTGATATTGACGCACGTGGCGTCCGCCATCTTAGGTAGGGTGCCCTGGATCAGGCTGCTGATGCTGCTGGGCACAAGCTGCCTTGCTGCTTTCAGTGTCACAGGGTGGGGACCGGGATCACCCCCGCCGGCCCAGAGGGGGGGGAACAGGGCCAGGTCCTCGCCGGTCCGGTCCTCCGGCCGGGCACTGTCAGGCAGGATAGCGGGGCAGCGGCCGTCCGCCCCGCTCACCGCCGAAGAAGGCCTCATCTGAAGTGGCAGTTTCTCCCCCAGGGGACTGCAACTCTGGGAGTCAGCCTCTCCCTGGGTCCAGTGGTCTCAGCACACGGAGGATTAGTCCTGTCGGTCTGCTATCCCAGGGTAAATCATGTTTTAAGGGCTTATAGAGTGAGAAAGTGCAGGAGCTGAGGTTGCTTGCAACCATCCAGCTCGGCGGTCCGGCCCCGCCCCCCCTGCTTCGAGTATTTTTAATCACTCTTATTGGTATTTTTTTGTAAAGTAAAATGTCCACATACAATGAATATATTCTTAATCCATAAATCTATATATATGTTATAGTGCATTGTTGCAAGATGCTACAGCTGCCAGCATATATGCCTTTCAGTATGCCCAAAATCCTCTTTTACAGATTACCTCCCATTTCCTCTGCTGGAACATAGACATGTGCTTACTGAGCTCGCAGCATTCTACAGTGTAAAAGAATTGAGACATGATTTATAATTCCTCTGTGAGCTGTCTGATGGAGGGGCTTGACCATCTTAACTCATCTCCCATCAGGGCCGGACTGGGGAAAAAATTAGGCCCGGGCATTTTTCAATCAGAGCGGCCCCCTAAGAAGGGGGCGGGGCCAGAGAGGGTGTGTTTTGTCATCACTAATGACAAGCACGCCCCCTCTCAAAGTGAGCATGTTGGTTCAATGCACAGAGCCCTGCTGAAAAGCTCTGGCATTAGAAAAAGGCCCTGAATTTGTTCTGCGCAGCGCAAGCAAATTTAATAACATGCTTGCGCTGTGTTTGCTTTTAAATTGTCTCTGGTGTCTCAACAAGTGGGATACCAGAGGACAAAAGGGCCAGGAAAGTGTATGGTGCATGTGTTTGGAGCCTGCTTGTGGGATTGCGTGTGTGTAGAGTGTGGTGTGGTATTGTGTAAATAGGTCAATTTCATATGTGTTTGTGGTGTAATATGTGTGGCTAGGGGCTGTAGAGAGTGTGTGTATAGGTGGCATAGTGTTATAGGGGATGTAGAGAGTGTGTGCATACGGGCTGTAGTGTGTGTGTAAAGGTGATGTAGTGTGTGTAGGGGTTGTAGAGAGGGTGTGTTTAGAGAAAGTTGTATGTGTTTGCTGACAAGGAATGTAGTGTGTGTGTAGGTGGTGCAGTGTGTGTGTAGGAGATCTAGTGTGTAAAGGACCCAGAGTGTGTATAGGAGATGTGTGTGTGTATAGAGGATTAAGAGTGCATATAAGGTAAGGGATCTAGCGTGTATCTGGAGCGTAATGTATGTAGTGCTGTAGTGTGTGTGTGTGTGTGTGTATATATATATATATATATACATACATATATATTTGGACGTATTGTATGTGTGAGGGGTGCAGTGTGTGTGTATGTAAGAGGGGTGCTGTGTGTGAGGGTGTTTTTATCTGCCGTCACATTCTAATTTTCTTTGTCTGTTAACTCACTGAGGGTTATTTTATATATTATATATATATATATATATCTGTAAATATATATATATATATATATATATATCTATATATATATGTGTGTTTGTGTGTGTGAGCGAGGGTGCTGTGTGTGAGTGAGGGTGCTGTGTGCCTGAGTGCGCTGTGTGTGTCTGGGTGCGCTGTGTGTGTCTGGGGGTGCTGTGTGTGTCTGGGGGTGCTGTGTGTCTCTGGGGGTGCTGTGTGTGTCTGGGTGCTGTGTGTCTGGGGGTGCTGTGTGTGTGTCTGGGGTGCTGTGTGTGTCTGGGGTGCTGTGTGTCTGGGGGTGCTGTGTGTGTCTGGGGTGATGTGTATGTCTGGGGGTGCTGTGTGTGTCTGGGGGTACTGTGTGTGTCTGGGTGCTGTGTGTCTGGGGGTGCTGTGTGTGTCTGGGTACTGTGTGTGTCTGGGGGTGCTGTGTGTGTCTGGGTGCTGTGTGGGGGTGCTGTGTGTGTCTGGGTGCTGTGTATGTCTGGGGGTGATGTGTGTGTCTGGGGGTGATGTGTGTGTCTGGGGGTGCTGTGTCTGGGGGTGATGTGAATGTCTGGGGTGCTGTGTGTGTCTGGGGTGCTGTGTGTGTCTGGGGGTGATGTGTGTGTCTGGGGGTGATGTGTGTGTCCGGGGTGATGTGTGTGTGTGTGATTTTTTAATTTAATTTTTTTTTTAAATTAATAATAATAATTTTAAAAAAAAGTTATATCCCCCCCCTCCCTTCTTACCTTTAGCCTGGGAGGGGGGGGGAACCGTTTTGCCTGGGACGGGGGGGAGCCGTTCTGCCATGGGAGAGCCATGCTGCCTGATCCCTGGTGGTCCTAGTGGTGAGCGTGAACTCTAGCCTGTAGGCTAGAGTTCACTCTCGCGAGATCTGAGCGTTGCCGCGGTAACCGCAACGCTCAGAATCCCGCGAGAGGACCCGGCGGAGCTGCTGGATAGAGCTCCGCCGGTCCTCTCCTCCCTCCCTCACACCCCAGCAAGCGGCCGCCTGGAAGTGTCTCTGGGCCGGTAAAGGGAGATCTTTGATCTCCCCACCGGCCCATGGAGGCACACAGCGGGGCCGGCGCTCGGGTAGCGCTGGCCCTGCAGGAGCCGGCCGACAGGATCTCCCCTGCCGGCCTCGGCCCCACGGCCATCGCGGCCCACCGGGCATTTGCCCGGTATGCCCGATGGCCAGTCCGGGCCTGTCTCCCATACATTATTTTTAGCCATCATTATTTCACTATATATATATATATATATAGCAATAGCTACAAATGAATATGTTTTTTTTTCTTTACTTAGCAATTTGGTAACAATATATAATGAACTAAACTACAGGTTAACAAAAACAAAATAAACACCTTTTCCAAATGACGAAAATATCTCTAGAAAAGAGAATTGCATAATTTGTGGCGTGCCAGACTTTGCGCCAGTTGAGCAGGCTTGATAAATGGACGTTTTAGGCAAATAAGTTAAACAACAAAAAAAGTGACATTGTAGATGAAAATATATCTTACACCATTGTTAAAAACTCATACTCCTTCAATTAAATGAAGATTCATAGCATAGTCACATATTTCCTTGTCAAATAAATGATGTCTCACATCAAGGACCACACCAATTCCTTCTTACGGAAACAGACAAATTTATAAATACATCACGTTCCTGGAATGTGAGAGACAAACGGAGGTAGTCAATAAAACACACTTGTCAGCAAAGACGTTTCTTGAAAACAATACCATTGCACATCAGAGGTTATGATTGAAGGAGTGTGTTTCCATCAGTCAGTAACTGTGAAATGGCTTGCAATAAGCCCAAAATGAAGGTAACGCATAACACACCGGGCTTATTTACTAAGTGAGAGTTTTGGTGCATTGACTAGAGAATAGCACTTTTTAATATTTATTTGGTGAATAAAAGTAAAGAAATTAGAGAAAAAATAATCAACGCTGTTTTTCCTTTTCAATTATTCTGCGCAGTTCCTGGCACACTTCTGCAAAAATTCTAGATAAGTGAATATGCCTCAATGTGTTGGTGATTTAGTTAAATATATATATATTTAAAAAAATATGATAAACCTTTGGTAAAACACAATGCATATTCTTCTGCTGCAGATTTCACCTGCAGACTATTCATTCTGGAGCCATGCTTACAATTTGCCCCCACCCCTCATAAAATAGAACTCTGTTACCAAATCAAATGTTCGGCCATCACACAAGTCGTTTGCTCAGTTATACATTTATAAAGGTGCTTCAGAGCTGCAATATTTGGCCAAACAGATGATTATACTAAATTCAGACAGATTTCAATTCAGCCAAAAACTAAGGCACAAGTTTAGAAATAATCATGATTCTTACTGATCAAATAGTAATTTTTACTTTTTGATGTGCTATGTGTACATTCATCTAATTGTTGCTTAATAGGGAAATATATATCACATATTTAGGTGAATGTAACTTTACTTCTTTAATTCTGTAGAATACTGACGATTACATACCCCATGATGCTTTTAGGCTGGAAGAGAATTATGTGAACTGTATCAACTTCACTAGTGACTTAGAAATTAATTTGGCAAATGCATATGTATACTTCAAGATGCAAAACATTACAATTATTTTTAGCGAATTAATACGCTCAATGAACTTAAGCATTATCATAAGACCAGAAATAAAAATAACCAAAATTGGGGGTAAATGGTTAAAATTTCATTTATTACATTTTATGCAATGTAGAAATCAGCAGCGTACAGGATGCATGAATCAGCAGGACTCCTACTCTGTTAGAGTGAGATTTATTCTTGGACATTCCTCTTATGAGCCCCCTGTCGTTACACAATTTAATTTCATGACGGGATCTAAATAAACAACTGCCTTTTTCACATTTAAATCTATATATATATTTATTCCAATGGTGATTGCTCAGTCAACTTAATTTATTCTTCCTTGATTATTCACAGCATGTACCAAAAAGATCTCCATTCATATGAGAGACATAAAATATACTACAAACAACAAACCTTTATTCGGAACCTATGGTTGCATACATAAACACATAGTCATGCATATATATTAGCTTACGTCAACGGGAACTTCTTTTTTTTCCAGATATCAGATATTGGTATTCAGTATTTTAAGTGTATTTTTTTTCCTCCAAAAATAAAATGGAGTATTAAAATCATCATTTATTATTCCTATTCTTTTCTGTCCGAATATACGTTTTTTTATTTCCCATGACATACATAAGTACAAACCTACATAAAATTAACACCAAAGAAACATTCATAATCCATTTGACCATGCATCCTCTAGTAACGGTTGTGGTCTCCTGAGCATCGGAATTTCTCCTCCTCTTCCTT